TTAACACTTAATTGGAAACTACAATGAAACAGTTTATTGTTACTGGTTTATGTAGAATTAATATGCAACCTAAACTGAAATAGTTTATCTTTCAAATTAAGTGTTGTAATGTGTTTCTAACAATTGTAACTGTTCTAACTGTGGTAGATTTTCTTCACTAAGCAAATCGTTTATGCTGGAGGTATTGTTTTATAATTAATGCAATTTAATGTTATTGTGGAGGTGATGTATAGAGAGATATAATGATATGAGTGAGGTAAAAATACCCTTCCTTTCATACAGTGTCTTCCATGTTTTCATTCTCTCCTAATCCCTCCCTCCTATCTCTACTCTTGAGTTGTATATTTCACTTTCATCACCCTATTTCCCTCACATTCTATGGCTCTGCCACACCCACCAGAAGGTATACATGTGAATACACCATAAGTAATTGAAGGCAATTGTTTTTATTTCACAAGTGAAATAAGAAAGTAGCTCCCTTTAATATTGAATAAATCACAATGAGAGCATACATATATTTTTACATATCCATTCTAGTTTCCTTCTGTTTGTTTTACTGTTAGATTATTAGCAACATATTGTTGGATTTCATTGTACTTATATCATAGATTTATTTGTCATACTGATTTCAAGAAAATTTGTCTTCAGATCTATTCTCAGTATGTCTGTCTTGGTAAATATAACAGCATAGTGCTTTCTAAGCAGCATTTAGTAAAGATAATGCCATCCATGTGTGTGTTTCTAGTGACCGTTTATCTAGTTATTCAGTCATTAGAGGAATATTACTTCTCCAATCATAATGATAGATTAAAGAAATTATCATTCTTTGGCCTTTTAATCATGTCTATGTAGCTTTGGTTTTCAGAATAGAACTTTTGTTATACAGATTTATAATTTGGCTGTTATTATCAATGCTCTATATCTTTGGTAGCACAATTTGTGCTGAGGTTCTTTTCCTTTCATATTATGACTACTTGTATTTTTTAGTATTGATTATTGCTTATGGTATGTTTATATTGATTTACTTTTATTTCTTGATAATTAATGTATATCTCATTGGTTTATTGATTTTTTTAGTATGTTTTCTTCTGTTTTAGTATGTTTTCTTCTGTTCAAATCAGACAGTACCTGATATATTTATTATTTTTATATTACAATATTAACATGGTTTCATTTTAGTGATTACTTTGCTATTTATTATGTTTGTCTCATCTGATATGTATTTCTTAGTTTGCTTTCATGTAACCTGCACACATTCTTCTATACAGTGCAAATCAGCTCTAATATAATCTCCAGGGAATCTTCTATACACTCTAAATCACCTCTGATACCTATTACAATTTTAATCCTACTAAATAGTTGTTACAATGCATTGTTCATTGGATAATGCCAGTTTTTTAAAAGGCTGCATGTTTACTATCGGTGCCATTCTTTTCCAAGTATTTTGGTTCTATGGTTTGTTGAATCTGTGCAACAAACAAATATGTAAGACCTAATATATTCCTTTGAAAATGCTACTGTAGGGGCTGGAAAGGTGGCTCAGTGGAGAGTGCTTGCCTTGCATGCATGAGGCCCTGGTTTAGGTTGCTGAGGACCACATAACAGAGGAATCTGGAAGTGGTGCTCTGTGTCCAGTAGTAGAGCAGTAGCCTTGAGCTGAAGAGCTGAGGGACAGAGCCCAGGCCCAGAGATCAAGCCATGTGCATGATGAAAAGAAAAAACATACCACAAATAACATAGTGCATATAATAATATTTAAAGGTGCTATACACAAGGGTCTCATGTTGGTAAACCTGAGACCTGAGGACTTAATTTCAGCTAGCCCTTTCAGAAAGGTCAATGAAACTCTTATCTACAATTAATCACCTAAAAATCCAGAAGTAGAAATTGATAGATGGCTCGTGATAAATCCTTAAGATAAAAGATGGTCAGGGACAGCACTGGGACCATGAGATCAATACCTAATATTAGTATGTTTTACTGTGATATATAGAAATAAATGCTTTTTAAAAAGTGGGTAGAATTGTGCAAAAATGCATATTGTTCAATAAGTAATGAAATCAATCGAGTAATCAATCAAGTAATGAAATGAATACCTGGTAATGGAACTTTGACATACATATATATGTATAAATACCCATATGTATATATGTATACATACATATGTATAGAGGTTCAAGGAACATTCAAGATGACAAAAATGATAAAGATGAGCAAATGATCAAAAGAGGCACATATTCCTGAGTTATTTCTCCACTAGATCCCTAAGGATATATTTCCATTTGTGTTAGTTAATAGCGAAATTCCTCAGAGATCAAAATCAATTACTGAGCAAACATCTCTGAGATTTTGCAACAAGTGATATTTCTAATAGAGAACACCTGTCACTGTATTATTTTTTTATATCAAAACCAGTTCCTATCTTACACTGGCAGTGAATGAAAATATTCAAAAGTCGTGGGATGGAAAAACAAAACCATACTACATCAAATGAACTTAGACAAAAAATATCACAATCAGGAGAATCACATTTTCTTGTAGTATATCAATTGGGGGAAGGACGTACTTTTCTGTAAGGAACTCTGACGTTGAGCTGAAGGGGGAAAAGGTTTGAGAGGTTGGAACTCCAGCCTGAGAGCACTGAGAGCCCTGAGAGCACTGAGAGCTGGCAGCTGAAGGCTTAAAAGAGAATTCTGGAGAGGGTTCAGAGACCGGATTACAGGCCTTTTCCTTAGTTTTGGAAAGATAGCAGCTGAAACTGAGATGCTGTTGACCTTGAAGGCTAGGTAAGGTGAACTTCATGTCTGCATTTTCTCTGGGCAGCAGTCTTCTGTCTCAGGAGAATAAGGAAACATGTATCCCTCACAAACTGTTGTGGGTCTGATTGTAAAATAAATGTAGATACTTCATTTTAGCATGTTATCAATGGGAACCTTCCCTGTGTGAACTCAAGCAACTATGCTTGCTTGCTGGCACCCAGGGACCAAGTGTCAGAAAGCCTCCAGACCTCTGGTTTCCCCTAAGTCTATCTGTTTATGTTTTTGTGTTTCTCTAATTTTCTTTGTTTCTGGAATCCTCTAGAACTCTCTTGGCAAAAAATTTTCCTATACAATGGGTAGGGAAAATGTCAACCATAAAAGTACTGTGTTTTCACAAGGAAAAAAAAGAACCACATCAGCAAATTAAAACTGATCACTAAGAAAAACCAGTTCCCAGATAGGTGATTTCAAGAAAAGAAACAACTGAGAGACATATGGAAGAAAGAGGGAATGAGGAAAGTAAGAAAAAATTAATAGAGATACAAAGAGAGAGTAAGAGAAAAATAACCGAAACTAGTGACTAGAAAATCAAGAATAAAGAGAGAAAATAGAGGAAAAAAATCTTGTGAGTGTACTTTAGAAAACACACAGAAATTAGTAGAAAGACCTAAAGTTCAGCATAAAGTACAACCTAAGTTTCAAGTAAGACCAAGACCATGACGTAGTCCAACAAGTACATATGGAGAGTAATTTAAGTACATATAGGTAAATGATTCCTTCAGAATACACGAAAGTGAGTGTGACCACACTATTTCAGCAATTCCAGGAAAATTTTGTTGAGATAGTTTAATGTTACTAATGAGGATGTGATCTGGTTCAAATCTATCCTACACCTTCATGAGATGTAACCTCCTCCATGTCATTACATCACATAACAAGTTTGACTACATTTTCTCTTTTTATTTTTTATTGTGAAAATACTGTACGGAGGGGTTACAATTAGATGGGCAAGATAATGAGTACATTTCTTATCAAGCCTTGTAGCCTCTCCTTTGCTTCCCCTTCCCATCCCTTCCCATCCTCCCCCAGGCCCCACCCCCAATCCTCCCCACCCCCCTCACCAAAGTTGTAAAGTTCGGTTTTGTCATGACGACTTGTAATTCTCATTGTTGCAATGGGTCCACCTGTATCTTTAAACGACTTGTTTTTCACCTTCTCCTCCACAAATTATACCGATATCAAATATAGTTAAAGCAGGGATTATACTGTGGGAGAGGGACATACAAAGCAACAAAGAAATAATCTTATAAATGCATTAGAAAGAAATGCATAAAACAAAAAAAAAAAAAAAACATTTAAATACATAGCTAAGGGTTCATTTTCCTAACATCACATTATCTGACCTTTTCTCCTTGACTCATACATATACTTGATATTGCAAATAATAGGTCCCATGGTTTCCCTTATTCACATTTGTAATACTTTTAAGATTATTCCACTGTGTGTGTCCTATGAACTTGGATCCATGAATACTTGGTAAAGGACTTTCCAAAATTGTTACATTTGTATTTTCTCACCCATGCCTGTTCTCTGATGCAAACTGAGTTAGGACTTTTTCTTGAAAACCTTTCCATTTATTTTTCCTACATAGGATTTCTCTCCTCTATGTGTGTGAGGGTGTGTGTGTGTCTGTGTGTCTGTGTGTTTTGTGTGTTCTGTGATGAACCCTGAGCTGTGTCTTGTAGTTGGAGGACTCCACATCTGCTATATCATATGGTCTCTATCCTGTATTGGTTCTGTATTGCAATTTCAATATTCTTACAGATGAAAGACTTTCCCATTTGGTACAATCCTAAGTTATTTCATTTGTGTGAATCAACTTATGTGTGTTAAGCTGTGATCTCCAGGTCTTTCCACACTGGTTGCATTCATAAGGTTTCTCTCCTTATGTTCTGTGATGGATGTTAAGTTGTGCCTTCCAGGTGAAAGAATTTCCATGCCTGCTATATACATAACATTTCTCTCTGGTGGGTTTTTTTCTGATGGACAGAAAGGTGTATGTTCTGGGTGAAAGACTTTCCACATAGCTTGCATTCATAAAATTTCTCTCCTGTGTGTGCTCTCTGGTGGACAGTATCGTATAGCTCTTGGCTGAATTACTTTCCACACATATGACATTCATAAGGTTGCTTTCCTCTGTGTTTTCTGATGGACAGTAAGTTGTGACTTCTGGGTGAAAGACTTTCCACACATGTTACATTCATAAGGTTTCTCGCCTGTGTGTCTTCTCTGGTGGACAGTAAGGTTTGACTTCTTGGTGAAAGAATTTCCACACATGTTACATTCAAAAGGTTTCTCACCTGTGTGTCTTCTCTGGTGGACAGTGAGAGTTGACTTCTGGGTGAAAGACTTTCCACAAAAGTTACATTCATAAGGTTTTCTTCCTGTGTGTGTTCTCTAGTGGTCAGTAAGATATGTCTTGCAGGCGAAAGACTTTCCACAAATGTTACATTCAAAAGGTTTCTCTTCTGTGTGTGTTCTCTGGTGGACAGTGAGGTTTGACTTCCTGGTAAAAGACTTTCCACAAATGTTACATTCATAAGGTTTCTTTCCTGTGTGTCTTCTCTGGTGGACAGTAAAGTTTGACTTCTTGGTGAAGGACTTTTTACACATGTTACATTCAAAAGGTTTCTCGCCTGTGTGTCTTCTCTGGTGGACAGTAAGGTTTGACTTCTTGGTGAAAGAATTTCCACACATGTTACATTCAAAAGGTTTCTCACCTGTGTGTCTTCTCTGGTGGACAGTGAGAGTTGACTTCTGGGTGAAAGACATTCCACAAAAGTTACATTCATAAGGTTTTCTTCCTGTGTGTGTTCTCTGGTGGTCAGTAAGATATGTCTTGCAGGTGAAAGACTTTCCACAAATGTTACATTCAAAAGGTTTCTCTTCTGTGTGTGTTCTCTGGTGGACAGTGAGGCTTGACTTCCAGGAAAAAGACTTTCCACAAATGTTACATTCATTAGGTTTCTTTCCTGTGTGTGTTCTCTTGTGGAGAGTAAGGTTTGACTTCGAGGTAAAAGACATTTCACACATGTTACATTCAAAAGGTTTCTCATTTGTGTGTCTTCTCTGGTGGACAGTAGGATATGACTTACTAGTGAAAATCTCTCCACACATTTTACTTTCATACGGTTTCTCCCCTGTGTGTGTTCTCTGAGGGACAATAGGGTATGTCTTCTCAGTGAAAGACCTTTTACATTGTTTATATTCTTCAACTACAGAAGACACATGAGGACTATATACAGCACACATCTTACCAGGTTCACTGAAAACACCCATGTTCTGACACCCAGTGACCTTTTCTGTCCTCATCCCTAAGGAGTTCCCATTATTCTTAATCAGTTCTGACTTCTGTTTTGAGCTCAAATTAAAATTTCTTATAAGTCTCACTTTTTCCTCCCCTGGGTTACTATTCATGACTGCTACTTCAGAGAGATATTTATTGTGACTTTCCTGACGGGTGCTAATCACATCCTCCATTTCTTGGACATCTAAAATGCATAACAGTAAAATAGACAAAAACATAAATGAGATCCATAAATTCCTTACTGTAAAGGTATTTTCTCACATTTTAATTCTTACAACATTTTCAAATATCAAAGCATTGTTTTATGCAGAATATAAACTTTTCTCTGCAACTTACTAACTATGAATGTAGTACTGACATTTTACAATGGGAAATAATGTTTTTGTGTATTTCAGATTTTTCTAGGAAATGTTTACTGAAATTATTCTTCAACAAACTCTTAATGCTTCCATTCTGAACGTCACTCTATGCCCAGCACAACTCATAAGCTATTGTCCTGATGAGAGAATAGCAGCACTACCATTCTCCTATTTTCCTCCTACCTGCATAATACTAGTTTAAAAGAAAATGGGATCTCCTTTTGTACATTTCTTATTGTCGTTTTCTCTTTATGAATGACTTCTCTACAGACAAAGAGAATTGTAAACATTAAATACACTGGCACACCAAATGCAGTTTGCCTCCATGTGAATTCTGGATTGAGAATTCCTTGAGACAAAGGATCACCTAGTTCTCTTCCATACATGACTCAGGGGCACTAGGAATACTATCGCTCTGTACAGCTCAAGATAAACAGACCAACTGGGCTCTGGACCCATCTTCACCATTCAAGATGCTTTAACTCACCTGTAAAATTCTTGTCTGAGGCTTCTATTATCCATGGATCTTCACCTTGCTCCAGCATCATGATCAATTTAGGTTTAGGAACACAGTGCCCTGTGGTTAAGAAATTGTGAAGAATTATTGCTCTTGCTGGGTCATCATTAATGTAAGGTCGCAGTCATCCTGTTCACAAGGTTGCTCCTAAATCTGGTTTCTCAATTGTTTTTTGGGGGGTGGGGATCCAGTTGTGGGGCCTGAACTCTGGGCCTAGGCGCTGTCTGGCAGATATTCAGCTCAAGGCTAGCACTGTATCACATGAGCCACATCGCCAATTCCGGCTTTTTTTCCCACTGCTTATGTGGTGCTGAGGAATCGAACACAGGGTCTCATGCATGGAAGGCAATTCCTCTACCACTGAGCCACCTTCCCAGTCCATGGTTTCTCAATTCTTAACAGCTCCATGGTGGAGCAGCATCCAACTTTGGGTTTATTTTGCCAACTGTGTGGCTTGAACTCAGCTCTTTTGCCAAAAGCAAGCATTCTACTAGTTTGAGTCTTGGCTACATTTCTAGTTTTTGAATGGTTAATTGGAGATAAGAGTCTCATGGTCATTTTTCTCCAGCTGCTGGTTTCAAATTGAAACCTTTAGATGTCAGACTCCGGAGTATCTAGGATTCGTAGCTTGAAGCACTAAACCCTGTATCAGGTTTGGCTTACAAATACACACTTTCACCTACTGATTTCTAGAGCATACTGTCAGTAGTAATGTATGCTCTATTCTAGACTGTAGATCTACCTATAATAATTACCCAAGTCTTGGAAGTCAGTCTCCTATTAGTGGATCATAGCTTAGAACTTTTGTCCAACTACTGATTTGCCTTCTTAAAAAAAGAGAATAAAATTAGCTCTTGTGTTACATATAATGAAGTTGAAGTTTCCCTTAGAAAACAATGACACTTCCCATGGTCTGGAATCTTTTTTTTTTTTTTTTTACAAAATGTAATGGTCCAAAGGCTTACACCTGTAATCCTACAGTTAGGAGGTGAGATCAGAAGAGGCAGGCTTTAAACCAACCTGGGCATGTAAACACAGAATATACCACAAAACAAAAGCCAAAATAGAATTGTGGCTCAAGCACTAGTGTGAAAGACATACAAGACCATGCTCTCAGACTCAACTTAGACTGGCTTTTTTACTAGCAGTTTTTTACCTGAGAATGGACTGGATCTTCTCCCTAAATAACATAAATAGTCTAATGTCTACTAAAATAAAAGCACTTGATCTTCCAAGTAAAAATAACCTTTGCTCACCCAAGGACATGAGGTTGCTATAGGTCTCCAGCATTACATCTCTATGAAGGGTCCTCTGACCAGGATCCAGATCCTGCCACTCCTTCCAGGTGAATTTCACAGCCACATCATCAAATGACACCAGCTTCTGTAATGGCACGTTTCCATCAAGAAATTAAACCTGGGTTATGAGAATTCCAACTTGGAATTTTATTATGGTGCAGGTATGCTTTTTTCTTACATAAAATGTTTGCAGCTAGCTTTATTATTTATTCACTGGGAGAATTCAACACCAAACTAGAAATATTTGACAATACATAAACCTGGTCATTAAAATACACAGATTTGCAGGGCACTGGTGGCTTATGCCTGTAATCCTAGCTATTCAGGGGGCTGAGGTCTGAGGATCAAGGTTCAAGGACAGCCCAGGCAGGAAAGTCCATGACACACTTATCTCCATTAAACCACCAGAAAATGAAAGTAGCACTGTCACTCAAGTGGTAGCACTCACCTTAACCTGAAGAGCTGTGGGAATACAACCAGACCCAGAATTCAAGCCCCAAGACCAATAAAAAATTACAGTTTCCATAATGCATGCAAACACATTTCTGTTGCTAGCAATAGAGACAAGATAAAAACTCTAAGGTGACAATAATCTGGCATGATAACATTAAGTGTAAGGAAGTGGCTGAAAAATTATATTATCATTTTTGATAAAATTTCAGTACATACCAGGGTAAAAATGAATTAAAGTAATATTTTTCCTTCATTTACACATACTGCTTCACCATAAATCCTATTTAGACCTTCCATTAACAAGTACTCAAAAAGCAAGCAGCACACATTCAGGATATCACATGGAATACAGAACATAGGAAATTGCTAGATCTATGAAAAGCAGTGTCCACATGGATGTTCAAAAAACAGTAACAGTACTCCAGAAAGTAACTAATGATTGATTAGGCCCTTATACAATTTAATTGAGTTCCCACATGAAAATATCTGTGGTTCACCATGTTTGGTTTAAATACTAAATATTGAAATGTGGTCATAGATACCCTGATATTTCCTTCCTATGTAAAAAACAACTGCTACCATGAAATTTTGTAAACTTTGCCTACATTCTACAATACAAAATATGGTGGAGGGAAAAAATGTTCCTTGACAAGGTTTTCATTTGAATAGGCCTTCATGGAAGGTGAAGGCAAATATCAAGAGGCTCAAGGAACACTCAAGATGACAAAAATGATCAATATTACCAAATGCTCAAATGCATCACATATTCCTCAGTCCTTTCTCCAGTAGATCTTTAAGGATGTATTTTCACTCGTGTTAGTTAATAGTGAAATACCACAGAGATCAAAAACAATTAGTGAGCAAACACCTGTGAGATTTTGTGGCAAGTGATATATTTCTAATAGAATACATCTCATCACTGTATGATTTTTTTTCAACACTAGTTCCAATCTTATACTAGCAGTGAATTTAAATATTCAACAGTAGTGGGATGGAAAAAAAAAACTGAATACCACATCAAATGAAGTTAGACCAACACAAAATCAGGAGAAAACAGATTTTCTTGTAGTCTATCAATTGGTAGAAGGAAGTGCTTTTCTGTAGGGAACTCTGAAGTTGAGCTGAAGGGAAAAAGGTTTGAGAGGTTGGAATTCCAGCCTGACAGCACTGAGAGAACTGAGAGCTGTCTGCAGAAGGGTTAAAAGAGAATTCTGGAGAGGGTTAAGAGACTGGAGTGCAGGCCTTTTCCTAACAATTGGAAAGATAGCATCTGAAACTGAGGTGCTGTTGACCTTGAAGACTAGGTAAGGTGAACTCCATGTCTGCATTTTCTCTGGGCGACAATCTTCTGTGTCAGGAGAATAAGGAAACATGTTTTCCTCACAACCTGTTGTGGCTCTGATTGTACTATTAATATAGATACTTCATTTTTGCATGTTATCAATGGTAATCTTCCCTGTATGCACTCAAGAAACTCTGCTAGCTTGCTGGCACCCAGGGACAAAGTGCCAGAGAGCCTTTGGAACCCTGGTTTCCCTAAGTCTATCTGTTTATATTTTTGTGTTTCTCTAATTTTTTTGTTTCTGGAATCCTATAGAACTCTCTAGGCAACAATTTTCCTATACAGTGGGTAAGAAAACTGTCAATCCTAAGAGCCATGTCTGCAAAGTAAAACTAATCACTAAGAAAAACTAGTTCTCAGATAGATCATTGAAGAAAAGAAAAAACTGAGAGACATATGGAGGAAAGAGAGAATGAGAAAAGTAAGAAAAAAATGATTCAAAGATAGATACAAAGAGAGGGAAAGAGAGAAATAACCAACACAAGTGAGTATATGACCAAAAGTAGAGAGAGATTGAGGAAAGAAATCTTGTGAGAATACTTTAGAAAATAATCAAGATTTCGTAAAAAGACCATAAACTTTAGCACCAAATATAGCCTAAGCTTCAAGTAAGACCAAGACCATGAAGCAGTCCAAGAAGTATATAGGGAGAGTAATTTAAGTACATATAGGTTAATCATTCCTTAAGAACACACGAAGGTGCGTATGACCACACTATTTCAGCAATTCTAGCAAAATTTCATTGAGATAGTATAATGTTACTCGTGAG